GCGGACGCCCTCCTAACCTTGAGAAAAAAGCCTTACCACTTGCGCAGATTGAGCAACTCTGGACAAAAGACAGCCCAAAACAATTCGGGACCGACTTTGAGACGTGTCGACTTTATGACGATGATGCGAAGAGGATGAAGATCGGAGCGACGCAGACAACAGGTCGTACTTTGCGGATGGGCGGGGCCCGCCGGCGATAAAAGGTGACTGTGTCTATGATACGAACTTCTACCGAGTTTACCATGCCACGATTTCGCATCTTACAAGGGAGGTCTTTCAGGGCAAGCCACGCTTTTTCAAAACGGTTTTTGCATATTGTAGGGACGCATGTAGGAACGCAAAACCATGTTTCATTTTCGCTGAACGGTTTTAGCAGTACCAAAAAAGAAGCATAAGGTACTGTTAAGGTTCGATCCCCCGTGGCGACTAAATTTTGCATTTGGGTTGGCGCCTACGGTTGGTGCCAAATCGCGCTAAATGTCAAAATCAGATGTCATATTCATCGTCAGGACCATTTTGAAGCCAACAAGTGGCCGCCAACCTTGATTGCAAAATTTAGTCGCCGCGGGGATCGAACCATCAAGGGTATCATTCACCACTTTTTTGATACTACTAAAACCGTTCAGCGAAAACGAAACATGGTTTTGTGGTCCATACATGCGTCCCTACAATATGCAAGGAACCGTTTCGGATTGCCTTGAAAGACCCCCCTTGTTAGTAAGGCAAAAAAGTAGCTACTGTTGTTCAATTGTTTCAGAGCGCGCCACGTAATTGACCCCTTCGGAATCGTCCATGTTTTGGAAGCATGAAATCCACTGAAAGATCCTGAAACAGAAAAGAACAGTGAAATGTCCTGTTCGAAAACAGGTTGGAATAGGGCTGTAGGTTTCTACAATTTTTTTCGATTCTTTTCCCAACGAACTATCCGCTAGTGTCCAACGCTCCATTGTCGTCAAGGATAGGCTCAAGGAAAAATTTTGCAATTCATTCGCGAAAGTGAACACTGTGTTTGGGCGGCGCAAGGAGGTTGAGGTTAATTACGAATAAGTTGAAAACCATTTCAAGATAACCCTTTGACAGCATCATACAAGGAGAAATCAATGATCAACAAGAGCACGGACAAAAGGTGTCAGCAACAGATCCAAGCATCAGCTATTCTTAAAAACCAATAAGTAGCAGGCAAGCAGGGTGAACAGTGGAAGTTAAAAGATAGGAAATGAATACCGATCGCGCATGTCAATCTTGCGGAATGCTAGCGTTTGCCTGCTACCCCTCCAGCGCAGCTATGGCCTTTTGCCGCTACGCGTTCTCGCGCGATCGCTAGCGTCCTGCGTCGCGTGCGTACCAGCCAAATTGAAGATGATCAACTGCCGCGCCGCGACATGCAGACGTTACGAATCGGTGCTGATTACGCAAAAGTCTGACTCGGTTTTAGTTCCGCGACCCAACACAAGTCACGACCACCACAACGCTTTCAACGATCTGTGGCTTAAGCAATCGCAGTCCTGCACCAAGATAACAATAAAGGGAAGGGACAACGGACCGAGGATCCAAATGGTAACATGTTGAACGAATACCCAGCAAACTCAGGGAGATTCCGCGAACAGCGTGAAAGTTCTTGGGATTTGGACTCAATTTTCGCCATGTGACGCCAGACTTTCCCTCTTTTCAACGTATGGGCCATTCGAACCAATTCAAAAACATATAGCCTTAGGCAAATGTATAGGACATCCAGAAAGTCCTGACGCCTATTGCCCCGCCGATTGCAACTCTCTGGCGTACAGTAAGCTCCCAAAATGCACCGCAAGAATGAGTTCCGCTCCAATTCAAACTAGCCTAGCTTGGCTGGTTAAACACTTTTGGTCAGTAGAGAGATTGTCAATAATGATCTCCTCCCCTTGCGCCGCAGCCTCCGATTTTCAGACCGACAACTGGAGTCCTCAAAATCTCAAACGGGATTTTTTCGGCTGGATGGGTCGCTTGCTTGAGCAAACTATCAATCGCTTTGAACGAAGCAACATTTCAAGAGTTTCCGCACTTACTTCTGATTCGTCTGATATGTCTTTTGCATAATACGCCGGCAGTAATAATGATCAGATAATAAGGAATCCCCCCCCAAAACAAACATATACATTATTCTACCGGTTATCCATCAACCCACCCCGCATAAAATCACATGCTGCCATGTGTTAATAAAATCTATGTTTCTCTCCTCTGCACCCCACTCCTAAATCTATTCATCAGTTAGTTTGCAACCAACGAAAATCATCACGAAGCTATAAATATATCACGTCGATTTCTTATCGATGTTAATTTTAATATCGCTTGACGGCTGTTGCATAGCAATTGGCTCCATGGTCTAAAAATGGATGTGTTTTCATAGGAAGATCGCAAGGATGTTCAACTTCGGATGAAGGAATCGTGGCCAGCAATTCGATCGATTACCGATGTATACAGTGGAATGTCTCCGGCACGTGTAAAGAATCTGCCTGCCGTCAGCACGTTACCAGCTTTAGATTAGCCTTTTCACCACTCAGTCACTGACTCAGGATTTTGTGATGCTACCGCGGGGCTCTACTTGAGGGGGGGAGCTTCTGGTCACGGTCCAGGAATATAAAGTTCCTAGCAAATTATCGTATTGTCTGCCTTTTTGATAACTCAGTCCCAGATGGACACTAAATGACGAGGGCTAGACGAGAAACGAGAAGACTTTTGAGTGTTTGTTACTTCGAATGTTAGTTCTTATTCCAGTCAATTGCAAGGTCTGTGATGTTTTTGAAATGGTGACAGAAGCCGCGTGAGACAAGCTAGTGAGAGCCAACTTAAAATAAGCATGCTGTAGTTGTCAGTTCTATTCTCAGAGCCCTGCGCCCTTTCTCCGACCACTTATTTGGCCAGCCATGACTTTCTGGATCATTCTGAATCCTTGGATAATTTGCTATGAAGTAGACTTTGGCGCTATAGCAGGATATGGGGGCATTGTGATGGCAGTCCATTTAAACCACGTAAGAGATCCCCTTTTGTTGATATCAGGGTTAAACCTTAGGCGGAGGAGTAGACTCCAAAATGCGTTAGCAGTTTTCATTTTCTCGAACTTCCTCCCCCTACTAGATTTAGTCCTAGAAAATGCCCATGTATCTTGCGATAGCGCCTTAGGCTTTTCAAAGTGAGGATTTGATCTTGATTGATAAACCATACTAAGCATTTTCTGAACAAATTTGCTGCTAACTAACAAGACCTCAACCGATTGATTCTCTCAGAGGACCCCCAGTGTTCCATGGAAATACCACCGTTTTGTTTGCGATCAAGAGAAATGTATTGTCTGGCAGTGGGTGGGAAGAGAGAGGGCTGCTGCTTGATAGAACTGACAACTACTGAGTGCGAACGCGACCACGAATTCTACCGTAATTTCGTCGCGCGGCAACTGTTTGTACGAGACGGTGGCGAATCGCTGACGACGTCGAGACGGGTCGCGACCGTAGCGAATCTCGTCGATGAAGTCTGAGATTGACCCAAGTCCCGAGCTACGAATCTGCAGTAGCAGAAACACAATCGAAGCCGTGAACAATTGGATAACAAAGGATTCCGTCGTCAATTCGAGAGAATGACACAATGTTAAGGATTTCTCTCAATAAATACGGTCGCGGAAAAAGTGTACCTTCTCCGGAGGATCACATATGACAATGAGTCCAATGAATTGCATAATCGCATAGACCCAAGCAAGAGTCAGAAAAACATCTGGTACTCGAAGCAGGAGGTCCTTGTCCAAAAAGTACCTGCAAATACATCGTTTACCCTGTGACTCTTTTTCATCCGTCAGATAACTCACCCATCTCGTGTTGACGGCAAATTATCCGGATTGATGAGCCGTGTCTGGATTGGGGCAAAAATCGACGACGAGACCCGAAGCCGGCGGCAACGATGCCGCTCATGAGCCCTACTTTTTCCGGAGCCCACTTGAAAAGAAACATTATTTCGAGGCATCTAAGGTCGAGCTACGGACCGTACATGTCTAGGCTTACATTGATTATGGTAGCGACGGCTGTGACATAGGCGATTCCTTGACCAAGTCCGAAGAGAAGACCATAGGTCACGAAGAAGGCAAAGAACGAGTGCTTTGATGGACCAGTACGAAAGCGCAACTGCGGATCTGAAACGAAACATCTTTAAAAGCAGCTTCTATAAGTAAAATAGGTTTACTTCAAGCATTCCATGGCAACTTCTCACTACCTTGTACGTGTTTTATTCAAAAGATCCCTCCTATCAAGATCAACTTATTTTCACAGTTCTTGACGGCGAAATAGGTCACATTTAGGTATAAAGGTAAAGATATCGGAAAAAAATGGTTTTCCCCTCAGAATTTGAAAGAGTTTGTACGTAGTGGCGAGAGAACCGTGTCGGGACTAAGCTACGCCGTGGTGATGTGGGCGGTACTCGAACCACTCTAACTGTAAGTCGTCACTTGGGAAGTGGAACAAGGGACGGATGACCTTGCTGATGGAAACTTCAACCCTATGTAGAGTATTGTAGAGCGAAAGAAGAACATTTGAAAAGAGCTTAGGCAATTTCCCCTCTTTAATCCCAAAAAGAGACAGAAAGGACAGCCACTCGGCTTCAGGCCTTCCTCTTCTGCAAGCGCCCGCACCACGTGGCAACTCCTATTTAGATTGTGGTGGGCAAGTTGGCCTATTTTATGACTTTTGAGAACCAGCCACTCACAATTAGCTTTTTCGCTCTTCCAAACTAATCTGGAGCAACTTATAAGGCACCGGAGTGTTTGGATGTCTTGGGCGATATTCAACACAAAATTTGTCACTATGCTCCGCTATGCGCGTAGGTATGGGGTTACTGCGCTTGAAAGTGAAATATAGTTATAGCATTGATCCACCAGTGATGAAGCAAAGCAAAAAAACTGCTAAGGAATAAATCAGCGCACTAAGTCAGCCGTTCCTCCAATGTGGCTAAATACGATCGAAAACGGTAGAGGTGGAGCCAACCAATGAGAGTTGCGCACAAGCGGAGCGCAAGCTCCGCCCCATGCACTAGTAGCAAATCGATCTCAAGGGTTCCAAGTAGTTTTTTGTCGATTTTTTTACCTTGTGGACTAGAATTCTGGACTTGATTGTAGTCACCACGACTACAATCATTTTCGGGTTAACTATAAGAAATCAAAAAGGAAGACTCAGAAGCGGCCGAAAGACTGTGTTTAATCTATATAGCAATCCAAAAAGGAAGATCTCAGCAAGCCGAATCCTGTCTAAGCATTTTCAAACCATCCAGGTGTGGTAATAAAGAAGTAGGGAAGTGGTACATACACAGAAGAAGTAACTTACGTAGCGATGGTACATCCTACGAGTGTAGCCATACGTGGACCAAGATGAAACGCTAACGTCCCACCGATTACCATAGAAAAGGGAAAGCAGCCTAAATAAGCTTAATGGTTCGGACAAAGAAGACTTAACAGGTCCTGAAACTTACCTTGAAATGTGGGAACCCACATGAAATGCTCAATTCTGATATTGGGATCAGTGTAATTCCGCATATATGAGGCCATATATGGAAGCATGTTACCTGAAAAATGACCCGGTAGCTGTTTATAATACAGTAAAATTACAATAATAAAAAGAAATTAACAAAAACAAATAAACTAAATTAATGTCACCTACCAAAAAGTGTGATAAGTACCAATGGAAAGATGAATGAGCACAGCACCCGTGAGGACCACAATCACACGCGACAGAGGTGGTAACTTGAAGATCGTGCGCGAGATCACATCAACATGGTCCAACGCACCTAAATGCTTTTTCGAATTATGACGCTAAAAACGATTTAGTACCAGTATACTGTCGCCAGAGCGGCAGTGTGTACAGCAAGTGGCACGCCTTTATCGCACGCGCGCCTTGTATGAGATTTGAACGCCTGGGCTGTGAGTCGCCTAGACCAGTCAACGCCTTCCCTCCTCGCGAGGCTCGTACACTTGTACCCAAGACTTGCTGGGAGGATAAAAACAATGACTGTACATCGGCTGGCCCCCGCAAGTCATTGTATAGGCCACATCGCATTCAAGCGCCACTACGAATGTACAAATGGAAGTAGAATGCGTGCCGCATCCCAAAAAGGGATTGATCAACGACAAATGCTTTATCCTTTTTTATATCTACTCGCATTCATTTTTACAGGGCCATATGCACGCCAGTACAGTATATTGGGTTGAAAACTATAAATCGAGTGCGATTTTGACTGTGTTTTTGTTTGTTAACTGCTGTTTTGGCCCGCAGTTCGCCTTGCGAATGTTTCACAAGAATGCTGGGTTGTGAACAAAACTTTCGCCCCAGGCGGGACTAGAACCCGCACCTCTCGCTTTCCGGGCAAGTGCGCTACCAGTTACGCTATGCTGGGGCACAAAGTACTGCTCAAAATCCACTTGCTAAAGCTTTCAGCCTCGCGGTCATTGCCGATATCGGCTAACCGGCTCAACACGTTATACGTGTGAGTGCTGAAAGCTATGGTACGTATACCATGAAAAGCTGAGTTGGGATGAAATGGTGCCCCGGTAGCGTAACTGGTAGCGCACTTGCCCGGAAAGCGAGAGGTGCGGGTTCTAGTCCCGCCTGGGGCGAAAGTTTTGTTCACAACCCAGCATACTTGTGAAACAAATCGTGGTGTTTTTTTTTCAAGCGTACAGATTCATTGAATGCAGGCATTCTCACCAACCACACATTAAGGATAAAGGATAAAGCATTTGCCGTTGATCAATCCCTCTTGGGATGCGGCACGCATTCTACTTCCATTTGTACATTCGTAGTGGCGTTTGAATGCGATGTGGCCTATACAATGACTTGCGGGGGCCAGCCGATGTACAAGTCAGTGTTTTTATCTCCCAGACAAGTCTGGTACCAATTAGACCGACTCCCGGAGGGATGGAAGGCTTGGTTGGCCCGGACGTGAAACTAACCACTTGACCAGGGATTTGATTCCCCGTGACCCCGCGGGTGTAGTCGTACCACTTGCCACTAACACCACTGGCTGCCCAACCACATGTAATCAGTTAGATAGTACTTCTTTCCCGCAATTCGGAATAATTTTTGTTAATTTCTCGCCACGTACTAGTAAATGTAACGGTTGATTTTAAATCGGGATAATCAAGGCGGCAGGAAATATATCAGGAAGGAAAAGCTGCCAAAAAAGTAAGTTTCCCAGTTCGTCTTATCATAACTTCTACTCTAGTCTAGTGGCACTGCTCTTATCAAACTTTACTCCAGTCGAGCCTATCCCTTTCTCACAATTATGGACAATATTTGAGTTGTGCAAATTGAGTAATAATGAGAACTCTGAAAACGAAGCTCAGTACCCTTTTTTGATTTCTAAATCCGGTAATTTCTTGCGAAATGGAATCAAAGTCGTAAATAATGACGAGAAGAACATCACTGATCAGTTTTATGCTTGCTTTGCTTTTGGTTTTGTTTAAACGTTTTTGCCGAATGCGAGCGCTAAATACTGTGTTATAACTCACACATTTTGGGACAGAGCGTCCAGGGTAGTCCGGAAAAATGAGGATTTTAAGGCGGGAGAGCCATGGATTTCCAGGAGAGGTAAGATTTTCTTTGCGAATGCATAAAATTTCTTTATGCACAAGAAACTTCGCTCAATACGCTGGAATTGCATCAGGGCCCAGGGCCTTAGCAAAATACTCATCACTTTTTTTCGCACCATCCTGCACCGAAAGCTATGCAACATAAAAGAAGGCTAAGAAATGACGTAGAATCGAAGCTCATAGCATCATGTAGAGTTGGTATTACCCAGAACCCAGAAAACCCAGAAAAAATATTGCACAGAAATGTTCCATCTCAAGTGTGTAGCGCTTATTTCCTTCTATCAGTGGTCAATTCTGCAAGCAAAAATCCTGAAGAGCGTAGGTTTGTGGCTTGACGAGGCTGCAGGTAAACAATAGCAAATATTGAATTGATAAAAAATAAACTGATTTAATAAAAATTACAATCATAAAAATTAAACAAATTCAAAAAAGTGAAAATTATGTACACTACGCTGAAATTCAATTAAAACAATCAGGAAAAATTAGGCGGAAATAAAAAATGTAACAACTCAAAACATTGACCAAATGGGTGTGGTTCACATGTGAATCACAAATTCACCACGTGCCGTGCAGAGAGTGAGTCACATATGAATTCTGCTGACGCGAATGTCTTAATCAGAGGTACTGCAGGTCTCTAGGACGCAAAAAGCTCGTCGTTTGAGGTTTCATACTTAAATCAGGTGGATGAAAGAGTAGGAAACGTAATTATAGTAGGAGTTCAGTGGTAGCCTGATCGCTGTATTGCTATGGCGACCATAAAAGGCGCCTATGGAGAAATTGTAACAAACTCGAAGGTACATGGAATAAAAAGCACTTATGCTGACTCAACGGTAAAGCTTACAATGAAGAGGTAGCCCACGAAATCAAAGACGTGCCCAGCGGCTAAAGATGTGAGAAAAAACATTGAACCCCTTTCACCCGTTGATTTTCGCACTGATGCGACTCTCATCGACCCGTCCTCTTCAACACTAACGCTCTCTCGCTGAATGACTTGAGTCAGACGGCAAGGTGGACGAGCGCCTGCAGGCCCTGTAGCCCGACCTCACCTTTAGGGGTGGCGTTTGCTTTCCTATGGTATATTCCGCTCTTAGATCTTTGACTATGAATTCTCTTCTGAATCAGCTGCCTAACCACGGTGCCGTTTCCAGTCACTATAATAATTTTCAACGTTGATGACCATAGGAAGCTGTACTCACCGTCCCTCAATGGACTTGGTAAGTGCATGTATACGCAACAGGTCGCCCTTTCTTTTGTTTTTGGTGCATTTACTTAAAAACCAAATCTTCAACCAAGTTTTCTGTTATAATGTTTTCAATAAAAAACCGTTAGGTAACCACGATCGAGTAAAAAAGGTGAGGCTAACGAAAAGCGGGCATCTATCCGCAAAAGGTGAATGAGCTTGCATATGGGATTTCGGGCAGGTGAATTGTACGACCTTCCACAGATTGAAAGAATTGGTGACATAAAAAAACGTGACATAATTCACTGTATGATAACTAAGGCATCAAAAATAGGACTCCGAGAAGTCGCTACAACTGCTGAGATAGCCCTCAGAAAAGACCCGTGGAAAATATGGCTATCAAGGGGATGTTGGGATTTCCCAGAGGAAATCAAAATTGAAGTGTGCCTCAAAAAACGTCAACTGTAAAAGAACTCGCAGGCAAATAATCTTCCGCCATACAAATCAATTCATTCGTGGAAGGTTCGTACTTTAAAGGCAAAAGTCAGGCTCGTGTTTGGGCATTATGGCGCCTGAAATTGAGTGTAGAGATGGGAGGTGGAACGACAGTGAAGAAAAAACGCAAAGAAACCGTCGACAAGACCGAAATCGAAACCCCTTCCCTTCTAGCAGTGAAGGAGGCTTGCTCGGGGGAGAGCCACGTCCAAACGAGTTTTCCGGATATGCCAGCCGTTCCATCGGTTGATACGGCAATCAACCTAGCTGATCTCACACGTTAGGCCAGCCACGCACCACATCCCGCGGTGGGCGGGACCAGCTGATGTAACGAACCCATCGCTGAAAGTAGTAGGCCAGAAGCCTTGACGGCGCGCAATCTCGAGACAGGAGTGTGGCATCACCCCTCTGAGCGCATTCCTGGAAATATTAGTGATGGAAAGGCCTTCTAGGGTTACCTAATCCTGACTCGTGGCTTTAAGAGGCTCATGAAGGAATAATACGTATACCTTACAAGTTTTCAAGGAAACGATTGCTGAAAATTTACTTCTAGGCAGGTTATGGCAATCAATAAACAGGCCACAATGGGTAAGGTAACGAAAGGGTAAGGGATTAAAATGTGACCTGCAACAGAGATGGCCTATTGGTTCCACCGTTAGTAGTACCGATACC